GCTGGGTCTGCCGGCCAGGTTAGTCTTGGGGTCCCTTCATGGTCATCAAATTGTCAGAAGCAAAAGAGGTGAGGTCCGATTCCAACTGGGAGATAATGATGACACATGGACTGTTGCTTGGAGAGGAGGCAGTTTATTTTTGAGAGCACAGCACAGAAAACACAGCTTTCGAAAGGTAGCCTACAAAATTGGGGTGTCAAGGTTTTTATAGGGAAAATGTGTATGTGAAAGGGTTTATTAAACTGTTTATTCTGGTGGATGTGCAGTTCTCCTGGAAAACAGTTTTTAATTAAATTTAGTTGCTATATAGATTTTCTCTTTGATATATATGGTGCTGGAGGCTCTCCCTGTGTACCTAAGGAAGTCAATATTGTAAAGAATTTCCTGTTTGTTTATTCTTTGATCTAATCAACTTTAGTAAGGCTGTTAGCTATGGGCTAGCTAGGCCTTTATATGTATAGTTTTATTTTAAAATTAAATGCTTCTAATTAAAAATATTTTCTGACACCAGTTTTGGAATTGGGAATAGGAATAAAATACTTCCTTGGAATGCCTTCTAACATTGTACTATCATTATAGGACAGTTTGGTCTGGAAAGAATACATGGATCTAGTAGGAATGCTTATGTACATGCTTAAATTATATTCACACAGCTCATTGTGAGAAATGTCAGCCTTGCATCTCATAAAGTTCATTGAGAAAATCTATTTATGTGGTTGCTAGGAGCTGAAAACAGCTTGATAGCACATAATCTATGTCATAAAAGTGTGAGAAACTGCAGATTTAGACCATTTTGAATATCTAATATAAAATAAGGAAAGGTCTGATCATTTCTATTGGCTTCAATAGAATGAACATCCTAATTTTCATTTCTGTTATTGAAAAATTCAATTTGTCAATGGCGAAACTAGTGCAGAGCATAGTAGAAGAGTGACTGATAAGGTACCAGCCACCTCAATATTTTAGCTTATTTATAGTTTTGTAAAACTAAGACCAATTTTTCAAAAGTAAACTTGTCTTTTCTAACCAGCTATGTGTGAGGACTGGGATTCTTAGAATTACTCTCCTGCAGGTTGGGTTTGCTTGTTTACACCTCATTTGTATGCATTATCCTATGACTGGTCAAAATAATATTATGTGGTGTAAAGATTATGACACCATGCAGCACTCATCATAGAAACTCATCATAGCCTATTCCAAGTTTCTGAAAGATCTTGGTTGTCCCCAAGTTCTCTTCTTGTTTATCTCCCAACTCAATCTTACCCACACTTGGCTGGAGAGAGCTACAGCTTGCTTGCCGGAGATGAATGAGCAGAGTTGCTGGTTGGAAGTAGTAGTTACTAATTTCCCTAATACTTATCTACAGGTAGTCTTTGACTTATGACAACTAAATCCATGTTGCTAAGCAAGATAGTTGTTAAGTGGGTTTTGCCCCATTTTATGACCTTTCTTGCCACAGTTGTTAAGTGAATCCCTTCAGTTGTTAACTCTGCGTGTCAAAAGGTCACAACATGATCACATGACCCTGGGACACTGCAATCATCATAAGTACGTGCCATTTGCCAAGTGGCCAACTTTTGATCCCGTGATCGTGGGCATGCTGCAATGGTCATAAGTGTGAAAAATGATCATAAGTCACTATGTTCAGTGCCATTATAATTTTGAATGTACACTAAATGAATGGTTGTTAAGTAGAGGACTTCATATAGCTGCTCTTCTCACAAGCAAATGAGTGATTCTGGGCACTGTACAACAAAAATAAAAAATAAAAAATCTAAAATCCTTATCATTAATAAAGACTAAAAGCATTAAAAACTATAAAAACAGCTAAAAACAAAAATAATCAGGTGTTGAGGAACCTTGGAAAGCTTAGAAGTGATGAGGCTATTTTCACTTTAGGCGTGTGTGAGATTCCACAGCGTGGAGGGTCACAGCAGGAAAGGCCTGCTATCTAGGGTCTGCCAAATATAGCTCTCTACAACAGGGCTTTTAAACCAGTGGTACAGGTACCACCTGTGGTACATTGGCACCTGGCAGGTGGTACGCGACCATCCTAGAAAAGTGGTAGCGGGGGAGGGGAATGAGCTGAACTGTTGGTAGCACCGCACAAGCCTGAGTGAGAGATGGCTGGAGCTGCAGGGCTGTCAGGGCTCAGCGGAAGCGCCAGGATCAGCGCCAGGCTCCAGCTGGAATGTTGCAGCATCTCCAGAGTCTTGTGATTTACATTCAGATACTTGGCAACTGATTCATATTTATGACAGTCAGTGTCCCAGGGTCATGTGAAGTGACCAAAACCTGCTGCAACCACCCAGCAGACGGGGGAATAAAAACCAAACACCCACCCCATCCCACCCCCGCTGCCAATCCTCAACAGAAATGCTCAAAACAATGAAAACCTCAGACAGGAGGAAGAGCGCGGCCGGGCGGGCAGGCAGGTGTCTTGCTCGGCTGTGGCTTGGGGGCCACTTTTTTCAGTGCCACTGTAACTTCGAAGAGTCACTAAGCGAACTGTTGTAAGTCGAGGACTACCTGTACTTCATCACTTTTTTACTTTTTTTTTTTTTGATCAAGTTTTTGACACCTTGCTAGGTGACTGGTGGTACTCGGATATTGCCATATCCTAAAAGTGGTACAATGGGTAAAAAGATTGAAAAGCCCTGCTCTACAAAATAGAACCCCCAACATGTCCATTCTGTTAAGCCTGGTGGAGCAGGTGGATGAAATCAAGGAAATATACACGGCCTCCTGCCTTGTAGTTTTTAAAGGTCAATATCAGCACCTAAGTTGGACCGAGAAACAATCTTGTAACCAATGCAGCTGTGCAGCAGAACTGTAACTGGTTCGACCAGAGATAAACATAATTGGTTGTACTGCTGTATTTTGCACCAGTTGAAGTTTTTGGATATTCTGGAAGGGCAACCCCATGTAGAGCTCACTGCAAGTCAGAGCAATAATTGGGTCAGATCTACTTGCCATGTTGCCCAGGAGAGGAAACGAATAAACTGGAGCTGTTCCTTGAAGCTGCCACCCAAGCCAGCAACTCAGCAATGTAGGCTTTTATGCAGCTGCTTTTTCTCTATCCAAGTAGTGCACAGCGAAGAAGGGCACTCTCTCCAGTTACCACATTCCCATTCCCACAGAGGACCAATGACAGCTTCTCGCAAGTAATTTTATCCAGCAGAAAGAGAGACAGCAAAGAATAGCTTGCTCTCCTTACTTATCCTTGGCGGAATAAGGAATGTTAGAAGGCCCCAGGAGGAAGGGGGGGAGGGGGTATCAAGGGCTGAACTGGCAGGTGTCTCTGCCCCCTTGGTGGAGTAGGAAAGCTGAAGCAAGGAGCAGCAGCTGCTGCAATCTCACCTTTCTCCCTTGGCTAGAGAATGTTTGGCCTGGAACTGGTAGGCAACCTCGGCTCTTTTGTGACTCACGGACTTCAACTCCCAGAATTCCTGAGTCAGCTATGCTGACTCAGGAATTCTGGGAGTTGAAGTCCACGAGTCACAAAAGAGCCGAGGTTGCCAACCCAGGCGGAAGATTGCAGGCCCTGATCTTTCCTGCAGGAGGTCCGGCGCCTGTTCTTGGCAGGCCTGGCTGCTTCTGGCTGCAAGGGATGGCTTTCCATTTCTACAATTCCTGCTGCCCCAACAAAACCAGGCAGGGTCAGGTGAACCACTCCCTGCTACCATCATCTGCCCACCCAAGCAGCAGCTTTTCCATTTCTCAGCCTGTATAGGCAGCTGCCTGGAGTCTTGCGGGTCCAGTTGCAGCCCGGAGGGATGAGGCATTTAGCAGGCGTACATCTGCCTGCTTTGGCGGTTCGTACTGCAGCTTATTACAGATGGAAGGTCCAAACTTTCCGAGGCTGACCCTCCGGAGGGTCAATCGGAGCTCTTTTGAGCCGCGATGCCGGCCGTCAATCACAAGTGCGGCTTTGGCCCTCCGAGCTAAAGTATATCCCTGCTGCTTAGGAGTCCGGTTCCATCGAGCTTCGCATTCCCTCAGACCGACGCGTGGAGGGATAAAACAGGTCGGGCGATGGAAGGATACTCTACAAAAGGATTGCACCATTTCGGATCACAGGCGGCAGAAAACACGTCGGGTCGTTTATCTTCGGTTAACCCATGCCTCGGCGAGCCAGTAGAGCAGGTAAACTATTTCTTTCACTCGCTTTTTTCCAAATTGGAAAGAAATACCGTTTGAGGCGGAGAAAAAGGCTCAGAACCGCTTCCTCCTTAGAACCCCTGAAGTGGTACGGTCCAGAGCACGCACCATTTCCAGGGTTCTGCGTTATTCTGCAACCAGCGCGCGCTCCCCAGCCCGACGCTTTCCTAGCAATCCTCGCCCTCGTCGCCATTTATGGAAAAACGGGCGAGGCGAGTGGCCGCTGCTGGAATAAAACTCCAAGGACGCCCCCCCCACGCGCGCGCGAGCGAGCGCGCGCTTTCCCTCCGGTGGGTTCTCGCCCCGACGCTGCCAAATGAATAGCCCCCCCCCCCCACGCTGCCGCCCTAGCCCGTTCGCTCCTCCCTCGCGCTCCTCATTCGCTAAGCGTCCCCCTTTTCGCCAGAATCCCCCGCGTAGAGTTGTGGATGCTTCTGGAAGAGGAGGGGGCTACGGCGACCGAGTGACTGATTGGAGGAGCGGTCCGGGTGGGGAGGGGGTGGCCGGAGCTGAGCCCAGAGCGCTTTTGCCTTGCATCAGCCTTATCTCTAGTGGGAGGGCGCCTCCGCCACCGGTTCTGGCCGCCTTCCTCGCGCTCCAGGGCGTGAGTGAGGCGGGCACCTCGTGCATAAAAGGCGCTCCGTGGGGCGAGAGCACGCGGCGGCTAGAAAGAGCTGACCTTTCCCTCGGCCCCCCGAGAGGGTCTCGCTGGAGGCATTTATTAAAACTTCTCTAGCCCAGCCCGGCCGGTGCCTTTTTTCTCCCCGAGCCGCAGTTTGGTCTGCGCGCCTTTTCTGATTTGGATTGGATAGCGGCTTCCGCCAGCTGAAGCGACCGGCATGGAGAAACCAGCTGAGAGCCGGAATGGCTTTCTGGAGCCCACGGTGCTAAGCGGCTTCGAGGCTGCAGAGGAAGGTGTAAAGCGGCCTCGGCTGAAGCTCTTCCAGCTGCGGAGCTTCGGCCGGTTCCTGAGGAAAAACTGCATCGTTATCTTGACCGTAACCGGCGTGCTGGCTGGAGTGGCCATGGGCGCCCTGATGAGGCAAATGCCGCTCACCCGGGCTCAAATCACCTACTTGGCCTTTCCGGGAGAGATGCTGCTCCGTATGTTGAAGATGATCATCCTGCCCTTGGTGATCTGCAGTCTGGTCTCCGGAGCAGCCAGCCTGGACACTCGGTCCCTGGGCAAGCTGGGCGGCATCGCCGTCGCCTACTTCTTGGTTACAACCTTGATCGCCTCGGCGCTCGCCGTTGCCTTGGCCTTCATCATCAAACCCGGGGTCGGCGCCGGGGAGCTCAATAGTAAAGACTTGGGCTTGGATGGCGCCATGCCCACCAATAAGGAGACCGTGGACTCTTTCCTGGACCTAGCAAGGTAAGGAATCCTTCCTGAGCTGTCTAGTCCAGAGGCGAACTTGGAGGAATCATGGATGAGCATTAGTTCCCTTGTGGGAGGCGAGGGAGGCTGTTACCCTCCTCTTTTATTTTTTATTTTTGGGAAATGCAACTCTCATAATTTTAATATTGATTTTGTATGTAATACTGATGGGAGTTATGGTCCAAAACGCCTGGAGGATACTAGGATATTTGGCTTTTGAAAATCCCAAGTTATTTCTTACCTCCAGGTCTGTCTGATGCTTTTAGATTCTACTGACTCTGGCTTTTGGGGAAGGTAAGAAGTAGAAGGGACTTGTACTTTGTCTTCCTCCTTTGCTTAGAGGACTGTTTTGCTAAAATAATCTCTTATTTTTATTTATTTAGTTAGTTAGTGTCTATAAGCTATTGGTATGAACTTAGAAATTAGTATGTATTCCATCTTTGCTTTGCAAAGAACTTGAAGCTGATGAAATACTAGCAAAAGATGAATGTTGATTATAGTAATGGAAAAGGTCCCGAATAAGAATTTGTGAATATGAAAGGTAGCCAATATAGGATCAGGAAATTAAAATGTCTAATAACATGCAGGTTTTGGCTGTTCAAAATTTACTTAACAGGTGCATTATGGTACTGTATTAAGTTTAAAGACCTGGGGG